CTGCAGTCATTGGCTTCCATTGCCTTCATACGGAAAGCCAGGAACGCTGCCAAAGATCCCTCCCATGTGAAGCCTGCAGTGGCAGCAGCCCAGTTCTGTTCTGCATCAGCCTCTCAACTCTTGGCAAGCCAATGCGGGGGTAGGAGATCTGCCAGGGGCTGCAGCAAACAGGCAGGAAGGTCCTCTCAGATCGACAGTGTGCTGCCCAGGGAAGGCCTGGCTGATGCAAAGCAACAGAGCATAGGAGGGTGCTGCTCATAAGGCGTGCAAGAGGCATGCCTCACCCACAAGAAAACAAAGCTGCCCATAGAGAAAGATGTGTAATACTTGAAAATAGATCTACCTGCTGCACATAGGTAGCTGTCTTTGTGAGATTGCTTTGCTGTGCTGTGCTACTGGACCATGGACCTGGAATGTTCATCCCTGATTTACTCTGGAATACTAGGCTATTTTGCCAAGAGTGAACACCAAGAGATCAAGAGGCGGCCACACACTCGTACTGCTGCAGGCAACTGCCCTGAAAGGACAAAGACAGCTTTGCCATGAAACAGTGATCAACATTTCCAAGACTAGCAACACTTTATTATCTTTCAAATGAAGGAAAACTTGTCACTGACATCAACTTTGCTACACTGGCCATGACTCAGAGCATGGTTTTACCTTTCCTGTGTACAAGCAGAAACATAATGGATTTTGGAAATACAGTTATTTCAGGAAAATGCATTGTCCCCTTCTCTCTTTCTGTGCTTGCTATTTGTTTCTGTAGGATTTGGTTGTTGTTAGCCTTCAATATTCATGACAAGTAGACTGCAATTGATTTAACTGGGTAAAGAACCTGGTACGTTTTTGAACAGACTGTCAAGATACGTATATTTCTGATAACAGAGGGCTGGGCTACATCCTGAAAAACAACCTCCTCTCCTTTGTCTTCCTGTGTTTGCACTAACTCACGGCAAGTTCAGTTACCCAGGGATGTCATCACGATACAGACAAAGCTTCTACATGTGGTAATGAACCACGACTTTCTGCTGTAGTTTGTTTCTCTGCTGTGCACTGATATATATTTGCCATCCTGAACCAAATCTTGGTCCCAAAGAAGTTAGTGCAGGTTTTGACATAGAATTCAAGAGGCTCAGCGTTTCATTCTGTAATTCTTAGCACCATTATATTCTACATAACAGTAAGTACTGTATACTCTTACGAGAACATCTAATAAGGTTTTTTAAAAACTTCTAAGCAAGCAGGTCCCAGGATCTGGAAAGCAATCCATTACAGAACAAATCTACTGCTTGCCTCTGCCACAGCACTGGATGCTTTAATTCATCATCTAATGTACACTGGTGTTTTCCCATGCTTCTCATTTATGCCTATTAATAAGGAGATAACTTCACTATCCACATGCTCTAAGACCTTAAAAACAAACACAGAAAACAACAATGACAGCACAAAAGAGTCTCATTGCTGACTGCACACTTTGTAATCTGCTTGGGAAATCTAGCCTTCTGGCACGGAGCAGAGATGGGGTGGATTGCTGTTAATGATCCATCATTGCTCTACTATTTCCAGCAGAAGTCAATTGTAAAACTATGAAGGAAATGTAGCTGGAGTAGGAATGAATATCATCATCTTACAAGACTGTCAAAGTACTAAGCAATTCCATGCTGTTCCTGTTGGAACTGCATTGCAACTTCTACTTTTGCTCTTCTGCAAGCAGTGCTATCCTTTGCTAACAGCATTGCTGAATAGCTGAGAAATGGTCCTTTGTGTACCTTATAGGCAGACAAGACGGCTGATTAAAATCTGATCTGGATCTTACATGCTTTTATGAACAAAGCATTTTGTATGCACATGCATAAACAGGCTATGAAAAATTAGGGTTTTTTTTTGGTTTTGGCTTCCTTCCAGGATTTTACTGACGGCTGTAGGTGATGCAGATTCAGATATTTAATATGTGGTACTGTGGTTTAATTGAAAGCTTTAAGATTAAATAAGAGTTTGTTCTACTTTGCTCAGATATATGTTGGGTTTTAAGGAAGACATAATTGTTTAGCTGATCGTCACAAGCACAACAAAAATTCATACTTTTCTGATGCAGATTGGCATTTGGAGCCCCACGCTTTCAGCTTCCCCCACAGACTGAGTGTGAACAATCTTGTGTACATGTAGTTAGTGAATACCGGAGTAAAATTTAGGGTGATAAACTATAAAAGGTGTTCTGGGATTAGAACAGATCATCAGGTTTGAGGTCTTTTTGATACTCCACAGAACACAGATTAGCCAGACCACTTTTGACCTCGTTTTTTAAGACAGCACCTATCTTTCCTCTTTTACCTAAGTAATTGCGTGCAAATTCTTCATACAGAGCATATTTTCCCATCTGGGTTGACTGTAAACCTTTATAAGCATTCATTTGTTCAAATTCCAACTCTCCACCAGTAAGAAAACAGTAATCACATATTTGAAATACACTCACAACAGAGAATATTTTAATAACTCTACAACTTGCATCTGATACTTGGAGCAGCTGAACACTGGTTACCTGTGGAGGGTCCTGTATAGAATTCAGTGACGTGTAACAGAAATCGTCTTTCTTTATAATGTAGCCAGCAGCATGCTCTCTCCTTCTGACTGCATCAGCAAAGACTACTTGAGAAACAGACATGCTCCAAGAGCATTACTTATTGTTAGGAAGGGTAGGTTCCAGCCAAGCCAGAAAGAAGATAGCTTTGAAATTGGCCAAGAACAGATCCACCACAAAGTATGAAGATGGCTGTTCACAGCTGTTCCTGGGAAGAAGCAAAGACTATCCTATGTAGTTACACAGCCCATTTCTTGCAAATTGGAGAGGGGGCACGGTGCAGAGCTCTTGGAGAAGATAAGGTGAAGAGAAAGGGGATCTCCTTATGTGAAAGGAAACACCACTCTGAGTGGTGAGAAAGATGGTACTACAGACTTCTTAAGAGATTAGCTTTTTTATTTTTTTAAACAAGGTAATCCTTGTTTTTGTTCGATTTTAAGTGACACAGTGCAATAAATTCTTGTGAAATATCAGCAAAATTACCTGGCTCCTCAATGACTTGGCTTATTAGAATAAAAATTAAAATAATAAATGCATGCTACCTGGAATCTTTGAGAGACTGTGCTATTTAGTATTTGAAAATTATTTGGTGATTTCTAGATGAAGGACATGAGAGAGGAATTAAAAATTACAATAAAAAGAACTGCAGTTGTGTGTAAGATTTGGTGCCCTGTGCAAGGACACTTAGGTCATACTTTGTCATCAAAATCCCTGCTGTACCTGAAGAGCCAACGTTTTTTGTTTTTGTTTTCGTTTTTTTAAAGATGTTTTTAAGATGCTTAATATCCCCAAAAACTCTGGACACCTACTGTTTCTTTCAGCTCTGAGCTCTGAACAGCTTTTCTTATTCTTGGAATGGATTACAGTTTGCTGAAAAAATGACTTAGGACCACCCTATTTAAATGAGAGCTGTATATTCACACATTAAACACAGTCAGAGAAACAAACACTTGTCTGCTAAGCCACACAGTTCACATGAAGTACATGTTCTACTGTGCAAATATTGAATTGATCCAAGCCACCAAAGTCAGCCAATATTGTTTGTAAAGCCACAACTACCATTATTCAAAAGTTTAAATTGACAGAAAACAATGACTTTAGAAACTTCCCTTTGAAGCTGACTGAAGAGATTAATGCACTGAACGTCTCTCCATATTCATGTCCTTTTCACAAAGAAGAGCTGTCCAGATGCTGGGGGAAAGCTTCTGAAAAGGGGATTCATTCCAAGAATAAAAAGCCCAACCTCTGCCCTTACCAGAGTGCAAGGAGGCTTGCCTGGTTTGCTTTGCTTTGTTTCTTTTTTAAAAATCACTCCTTCAACAGATGGACAGCAGTCATATATCTCATTGGAAGAGTTCACCAATGGAGCGGCCAGGCTTCCAGCGGCTCCTGGCATGGCACAGACAAAAGGACACTTCTCTGATATTCCCTTCTCCTGAGGGAGTTAGTTTTGGCATTCAAAGTCAAATGGTGTCATGGACATGCTCAAGCACCTACAGTCAGTGGGCCCAGATGTCCACATACTTAGCATATACCTGATTAATACCTAAAGGTCTGCTAGCACAGCTCTGGTGTTGCTACACCTCATCTATGCACAGATGTCCGTGCCACCAGGAGGGAGGTGGTGGGAAGGTACAATGGGTAGGACAGTGGGACAGAACTGCCTCTTTCGGGCAGGATCACAATCATGGATCAGCTCGCACTGACCAGGAGCAGCTGCTGTTTGACCCCACTCACACACACTGGTCTGAATTGCACACCTTCAGCAGGACAAAGCCTCACACAAATATGCAGCATGGAGAGGTCACCTTATCCTCCATTGAGGATAATGTCCTCCATTATCCACTGAGAGGACAATGTTGACTTTCAAAATGCAGTGCACAGCCTTTGCTTATGCAAACTTATCTGCTACGTGAAGAACATTTTTATAGTTTAGATTTTGGTCTTCAAAGAAGAAAATAAGGAAGAGAAAAGAAAGAGGATCTAATTAGCTTACACACTCAGATGTGCATATGCTCAGCACAATATATCACACACCAAGCAAATCAAAGCCACCTTAGACTCAGCATTTCTGCAGCTTTTTTCTCCTCTAACTTTACAGGCTAACTAATTAATAGACACCATATATCAAATACTCAGCCATAAATCCAGGATGTGAAGAGGCTGATCTCCTCATCTCCCTGGGGCCTTGTGTGCAAATCGAATTTAAGCATCGCTATTGATTTGCTAACATTTTGTATCCCTCTGCCTTTAAACCTGGTGTAAATAACAATACAAAGGAGAATCAGGGTTCTACCACACAAACACTTTCATCTCTAAATCTTTTTTGCCAGATCTTCTAAACAGTGGTCAGCAGTATGTACGATTCCAATCACTTTGCAGATATGATATAAAAGTAGAGAAAATGATCAGAAACAAAAACTTGAATTCAGATCTTTATTATACAGGCCCAAAGCTGTGGTCACCATGCAGTTACACCATAATGGGAATGATCTTGCTGAAAGGATCTCACTAAAGAAATTTAAAGAGACCACAGACTACAGCATTCCAAATAACTGGCACTTTGATTTATGAAAGAGCAAAAATAAATAGAGGAATGGCAAGTATGTCCTTTTCACCATATGTTGGGGCATATACATAATCCTTCTTTTCTATAGCTATTTTGGAGAAAAAAAATCAGCAAATACTGCCCCAAAATACTAACCTGTCATGTGAGGCCTCAGGTAAGTTAGCTGTTTCTCCTTAGTAATTTGATCAAACATTCTGATATGCCAAAACACCAAGCCCACAATGTGTTGTTCTTTTGTATTTTTTCCTACTTCCCACCCTTTCTTCCACCATCGAAGACACTAACAGGGAATAAGTGGAGATATTTAGTCAAATAAAAGCCTTGAAACTTTTCCTTTCTAATTTTCCATGATGCTTTCATAATTTAAGGATTCATCACAAATCTAAAAAAGGTTCGAGTGTCTGACAAGCAATTAAAAATCTCTGGAATATAGATAGCCACAGTGAAGAGCTGCACATAGACTGCACACGTAGTGTCATGTAAAAGTGGTTACCTTTAAAAAAAACAAAAACAAAAACAACATTTCTTAAAATCTGTAGACCAAAACCAAGCATGTCTTATTCCCTAGAGGATTTTCTTGCAACCTGATCTTCAGTTATTTGCACTAGGAGATGCTACAAATGGTATTAGTTACAATAATGTTGTCTTCTGGTCCAGCAGAAGAACCTCTCTCTCCGATGGATGCAAAACTGTTCATCTGAGTAGATCATCCTCAACAGCACAAATATGGTCTAGAAACTCATAGAGTTTATGGTTTTAATTTATAAAATTAAACCTGCGTCAGACAGGTAATACTGGTATGTAAGTCTGCCATCCCTGGGTTCTGTCAGAAACGGGGTACTGAGGTGCTCAGAGCCGTCTCAGTCTGCAGCGCTGGGATCCTGCTGGCACTTCAGACCCGAGAGGCGATGTGATGCATGCTAGAACATGGGCGCACGTCTCGCTTAACTCTGCAGAGCCAGGGGCATGGTAAGCTGCCAGAACTTCCTTCATCTTGCCTGTTGACAAAAGGAACAATAACTAGTCATCACTGGGTGCTGGGGTGTAATTCCAACTTCTAAAAAGTCCTGTAAATGAGACTGGTTTTTACTAGGCAATAGCAAATTTTCATAAACAACAGTTTTCTGATGAGGCTTACCATCTCTGTTACCTATGGGATGCGCCTGAGGGAGAAAGGTGCCTGCTGGGTGGTTCCTAAACTATTAGCCAGGATTAAGCACACCGCTATTTTAAACGCATTATTAATTTTACCTTTCATTGTCCAGGAGCTTAGTATTTTAAAATCTTCATTGGGATATTATGTAGCAGGTTTCCTCACCAAAAGTGCTGTATTGTGTTTATGCACACTGATACAGTGTAAATAACTAAGAGGATTATTAAAGACTTAACGAGTAGGAATCCTATAGATTAATAAGTGACTTACCTAAGCCTAGTATGTAACTATCTCTGACACATATTGCTCATGACTATTATGCATTGATAGCAACTATTATTTGTTTGAGTGTTTCATAAATGATGCATTCAATGGGCTTCCCAGAATTGTGGCTCAGGAAAGACAACTGGATTTTCTATTGATTTCCCGATCATTTTTTTGTCCAGATATCCAGTCCTATGTGCAATCCATGCACCTTGGCTTTCTAAAAACCAAACCTTTAATATCACAGACTGAGAAAAAGAAAGACCAGGCATACCTCTGTAATACATAGTTGCTACAGGATAGGTATCAAAGAGAGAGAGAGAGGTATCCTGGGAGGGCGATTCTTCAATTCTTTAGGTAATATCTATTCTTTTTTCCATTTGCTACAATGAGACTAAAGACTGACCTTCCACATAGTTACAATTAAGTTTTGTATGCCACTACAGGGATCTGACTGGATTTATCAGCTTACTTCACAAAGACAGTGGTTAATTTCAATCATTACTGACATGGGGAAAATTAGAAAAAGTTTAATTGCTCCAAGCTAATGTAAATACTGAAGGTATGCAGTAAATTTCTAAATTGTTATTATTTTTGCATATTCTGAAACTCTATGGAGACATCCAAAGTACTTTTTCTATGTATAGTTATTACTCTCATCATTTTCACATACATAGAAATCACTAAAGGAGCAAGGCTACAGGTAATTTGATTGATCACTTCATCCATCCCTCACCCATGCCACGTCTCCTGATGTTTGACCTATTTTTAAACTTCTGCAAGGCTGAAGATTCTACAAATTCCCACTAAGCAAACTATTCCAGGGCTCCTCTTTCCCTTGCCACTTAATATTTTTTCCTAATGCTTACATTAAATCATCCTTGCTATGATTTAAGTCTATTATTCTTTTTCAATACCAACAGCACTCAACTGCCATCAGTTACATCCCTTCCTCTTCAGAGTCAACTATTTCTATACAAAGGCTGCTATCACATCTTCCTTCTATCTTCCTGTTTCCAGACTAAACAATCCTTCAGTCTTCCCCTGAAGACCCATGTGTTTCAGATCTTTGGCTTGGCTCATTGGCCTCTTTAATGCTCTCTGAATAAATTGAATCGTACTTGAGCAGCAGTCCCCACAGCTTGGTAAAGCATTGAGGCCTTATCAGTACTCATTAAAACAACTGTTATATGCTTTATTTATTCCCATTCACGTGCCCACAATATCGTTGGCCTTGGTTGCAGTAGCACAATATCACTGGCACATGTTCAGCACAGGACCGTTATAACATAGTCACCTGCAGCACTGCTGCCTGGCCATTCATCTCCCACTGGTATATGTTTCAGCTGATAATGCCTACCTATATGCAAGCTTTTCTAGTCTGCAATTCAACTGCTGGAAACGTGGTATTTTCTGAGCTACTTCAACACTTTATCGAGATCATTGTCCACTCTAAGTCGTGCTTTAGCACACTTGTTCTAATCTATAAATTTATTAAACCTACTTTCTGGCCTTTCATTCACATTATCTGTAAGAATACTGAGTAGCACCAAAACAAGTTAAATGTTTGCAGAACAGCACTTAATGGTATATCATTGCAAACTTCTCTCTGCATATGGTTTCCAAATTATTTATGCACTCACTTCACAATAATTTATTCTAGCTCAGTTTCCCTAGAACATATGAGCATACAAACAACTAACATATACTGCCATGCAGCCTTGTTCAAATAAAGAAGGCAATACTATTAAATCTTTTAAGTATTGTATACTTTTTGAGAACAAAAGCATTATGCAGAAAAAATTCAACTGAAAACATGATCTTGCTAATAACTGATTGTACATTCAGATAACTACTTTCATGAAGTACATGCTCTATTAGAATACTGTTCAATTAGGGCTTAATGGGACTCTGACAGCCTCCTAAAACTGGTTTTTCTTCAGTAGAAACCTTCATTTAGAAAACAGAAAAGATATTTCACTGCAATACTGCCACTGGAAATAAGTTAGTTGTACAGCATCAGAAAATACCAAGTTGCAAAACTACTATTCATCTCACATGAATTCTTGATCAGAAACATACTGAACAGAGAGCACAAACAACCACAGAACCAGCCATTTGACACTTCTCATGGAAAGTATTTCCACTTATGTTAATCTTGACGTAGACACGTGACAACTGCATAAATACTGGAGGCACACTTCCTACCTAATACAAGTTATTTGCCAGATTTTTTTCTATTTCTAATTCTATGCCATATTTTACTTACTGTTTACTGGCTATTCTGAGCCACTCACAACAGTGAAATCATTTGCTCCCTGAAGTGGAAGCCAGAGCCTTTGGCTCTTTCAAAGTGATACGAAAGATAGTATTTTCAGTTCTGAACCAGAAACATTGGAAGCTAGCAAAAGCTGAAATACAAATCTAAATACAACACAACACCAATAAATTTCCAGGAAGAGAAGAGAAAAAACTGACTCTCAAAAATACATGATTACAGAAAGGCAATAGCATATATAGAACATAAAAATGTTTTCTATATTCTTCAGTGGAAAAGAAGGCAGTGTGAGAAGGGATGGCCCTGTCTGCCTGACCCAGCACCAGCTGCGACAAACAGCCGCTGTCTGTCAGGGCAAGGGAGGATTCTCACAATAATCTTTGTCCCTTATGGCAAGACTAAAGTCCTCAGACTGAGATTAACCAGATGTCTTTACTTCTCTGAGATGAGAGTAGCTTTAGGGGTTTCAAGTTATAAAGATGTAAGAGACTTTACTGAGTATTGCAGGCATCTAGATGCTAAAATTACTTTCCTCATTTTGTTAGTCAGAGCTAGAATTTCCTTCCTTTTGTTAAATTGAGACTTTTGGACTCAGTGAAAGTAAAAGAAAGACAAATCTCTCAATCATAAGCACAGTTGGAAGAGACCCCATGTAGCAGCTTGCTCAGCAGCAGCAGAGATGGCACTCTGGTGATTTGCAAAGTTGCATGTGTTACAGTGACCTCTCTCTTAAAAGCCCTGAGCTCTACTACAAGAACAGGATGCTTTGTTACTCCAAGACCTTTGAAACTCATAGAGTGAGGTCACCTGAACGGGCTTCCCAACCTAAGAACATGGATCTGATGATACTATGGGGACAACCGATGTGAAGAGGTGTCCACTCGCAGGCGCTGGCATCACAGATGCCTACAGATCCCAGGGTGCAACTGGATGGGCAGTCAATTTCAGAAACATCAGGCAGAAATCAAAAGTGCATATAAGAGCAAGAGAAGCAAAACTGGTGCACTGATACTGTTGTTATTGAAATTACCTATGCTGGAAATAAGGACAATTCTTCTGCTATAATTCTACAGCAGTCAAATATCCTGAGGGATATTCTTAAAACATCCAGTGCATTCTTTTTTTTTAAAGACCACCACTTTTCAGTGATGGCTGAAGTTGCATACAGAAATGCATTTCTGATAAGCACAAAGGAACTGCTCCAGCCATATGGGATGAGGGGTGATTCACTTCACTAGGGTTAGTTTTCTAAGGATAAGACTCTGTCAAATCACAGGTGTCTCATGCCATTTTAGATGCCCTAAGGGTTTCCCACCTCATCAATATATCATTAATGACACTTGCACTTCTGCACATGCAGCACGCCATGACAAATGTCACAAACCCAGCAAGAGTTACCTATACTCACACAGTGCTGGGCACCTCAGCAGTAGGATTTATCTTACATTTGTTGAAGTGCCAAATGTGAAAGTCAAGAAGCAGCCACAGAGGTGTGTGGGTGACCCTTCCCCTGCTGAGAGCTCTCTGCACTACAGAGACAAAGAAGTCAGCTCTGCAGTGTAAATGTTTTGCATGAGTCTCACTTTTGCAAAAGCAGGGAATGGGAGAAATTCCAGAAGTGTAGCATTAGCATGCTGATTGACAGAAGGAAAATTAGTGACAGTGAAATTAAGCATAAAGTTACCAAATAGTGAAATAATTAATAGCAAATTCAAGAGTTTTAATGAAGTTAGCAAGAACCATGAAACATGCCGGTTTTAACTGACTTCAAATTTCAGTGAAAGTTCATGGTTTAGAAAGTAAACTATTGATAATGAGATACCTCAATATTCTTGCTCCTGAATGTCATAACCTTTATAATATGGAAATGCTGATGATTATATACTTGAATTAAACAATGAAGCATCCATCTCTAATATGTTAGAGAAGATTCTATCAAGATAACTGTAACATTTGGAACATCATGTCATTTTACCTATTTTGATGTCATAACTAAACAAGACACTTTAAAATTACAATGGTGATTTAGGTGATTCAATTAAAGGTGCTTTTTAGGGATGCAAAATGAGTAGTGACATTCAATATCTGAAATACTGTAGCATTTCTGTACTTACACAAAAATTCTCATAGCTGATTTTTTAAAACATATTAAGAGAAAAAAATATTAGGCAGAAGTATATCTAAGAGTTTTGATGTCATAAGAGGAAAAGTTAGAAATGAACAGCCCAGAGGCATACCACATTTGTAGCTCAGATATGACAGGGTCCCCAAGTACCAGCTCTCCTAAATGCAGCTGGGCACCT